GTCTATTTTGGATTGAAAATGCGTCTGATTTCACGGCGCTTCACTGCGCACGTATACAACACTGCCGCACTACTTCAGCTTGACCACCAACATGACTAATATCAACACAACAGACGTGATGTAAATGCTTATAAACCATTTATTAAAATTCGAAAAATACAATAATATGATTTTTCCTCCACAAGTATTAGTGAAACTCACTATAATATTACCTTCTATTATAAAAATATTCAAACTCAATTCAACCCACAGCCCCAAACATAAACAAACAATATCTAACTTATAAATCAGTAAGCCTTGTAAAAATGCATCCCTATCTATACAAAAAAAATAACAGCAAAACGTTGGTAAACATTTGCCTACCTTGTAAATGGTATATTTCTTTCCGTTTAGAATGGGAAATTCACAAGATAACGGTCGGGCGAAACACCAAATTTATGGCACTCATACTCCATCATGTCCTGTTGCATCGTTCAAAAATAGATGTCAAAACTTGAACCACCAGAAATCTGTTCTCTGCTAGCTTCCCCGCAAGGCTGTCACTGCTTTGAAAAAGCTTGGCCATAATCCAGTCCGAAGAGATGAAAACAATATTCCAAGGAATCCAAAGCAGCACTGTCACTCTTCCGTCGCATCGTCACTAGTCGCCCCTTTCCGTAAACTTCAAGAAGACTCGTCCCCCACCATTCGTGACCAACTCGTGTTATTCCGGGACAAGCCGAATAGCGGCTCGTGCCCCACTGGAAGGATTTCATATTGGCGCATGAACATCAGAACTACTTGAAACAAGAACGATAACTCTATCCCTGTTTGATTCCAATGTTTCTAAAAATCACAGAAGCACATATACATTGTATTGTTGTTGTTTTGGGGTTTTATTTACTTATTTATTTTAAAGAATTAAACCTCTTTGATACAACTAAAAGGGGAAAACATATAAGTTAAAGACATATTCTAATGTAATTATTACCAGCTGTTCACTTTATATTTCCAATTATGTTCATTTTCTAAATAGGGTTTAATCATCACAAATTGGAAATGTTTTATTGAATATACAAAAAACAAAATTTCAGCTACATTAAATCCCAAAGCAGATACTCAAAAATGACTTTAACATATTTCTCAAACTGAAGATTCGTGTAACCTTGCTGTCACACCCCAGGTGGAATTTCAAATGAAATCGCTGAAAAAAATATGAATGACCAAAAACAGACTAAAATATCCCCAGAGCTATTAAATATAAGCCCAATGTTAAAGATTAAGGTTGATTAGTTACATACAAATACGATATTATTGTTTTGAAACTCGTAGCCATTATATATAAATTTCCTAAAATTGGTCGAAGCGCACGTACAATCTCCATAACAAGCCCCGCAAGATCGTCAGAAATACACTCAGTTGGACCCATGACAGCAGTTATGTCAACAAACGCACGTGCGTATATTTGAACGTCTCGCCGTCAATCGCATGATTCTTATTAAAAACTTCATGATAGGCAGCAAAATCCTTTTAGCTACGTTCTTTGTACTTTCAATATGACGATATATATTTTTCATGATCCTTTAAACAATGACATAATGCCATAAACGATTTAAGTACTCGGGATTATTTTTATCAAAGCACCGCGCTCATTTACGCGCGTTCTGATTGGTTTGTCGTATTTTCGCACATAACAAGTATCGAGTAGGGGACGAGTCTTCTTGGAGTTTACGGAAAGGGGCGAGTAGTGACGAATGGTCCCCAACTCGATACTTATTATGTGCGAAAATACGACAAACCAATCAGAACGCGCGTAAATGAGCGCGGTGCTTTGATAAAAATAATCCCGAATACTTAAATCGTTTATGGCATTATGTCATTGTTTAAAGAATCATGAAAAATATATATCGTCATATTGAAAGTACAAAGAACGTAGCTAAAAGGATTTTGCTGCCTATCATGAAGTTTTTAATAAGAATCATGCGATTGACGGCGAAAGGTTCAAATATACGCACGTGCGTTTGTTGACATAACTGCTGTCATGGGTCCAACTGAGTGTATTTCTGACGATCTTGCGGGGGCTTGTTATGGAGATTGTACGTGCGCTTCAACCAATTTTAGGACATGTAATTATAATCGCTACGAGTTTCAAAACAATAACATCGTATTTGTATGTAACTAATCAACCGTAATCTTTAACATTGGGCTTATATTTAATAGCTCTGGGGATATTTTAGTCTGTTTTTGGTCATTCATATTTTTTTCAGCGATTTCATTTGAAATTCCACCTGGGGTGTGACAGCAAGGTTACACGAATCTTCAGTTTGAGAAATATGTTAGTCATTTTTGAGTATCTGCTTTGGGATTTAATGTAGCTGAAATTTTGTTTTTTGTATATTCAATAAAACATTTCCAATTTGTGATGATTAAACCCTATTTAGAAAATGAACATAATCGGAAATATAAAGTGAACAGCTGGTAATAATTACATTAGAATATGTCTTTAACTTATATGTTTTCTCCTTTTAGTTGTATCAAAGAGGTTTAATTCTTTAAAATAAATAAGTAAATAAAACCCCAAAACAACAACAATACAATGTATATGTGCTTCTGTGATTTTTAGAAACATTGGAATCAAACAGGGATAGAGTTATCGTTCTTGTTTCAAGTAGTTCTGATGTTCATGCGCCAATATGAAATCCTTCCAGTGGGGCACGAGCCGCTATTCGGCTTGTCCCGGAATAACACGAGTTGGTCACGAATGCTACTTCCAAGTAAATAAGTAGGTCAGACGATTCCATTATAGTGTAGGCATGGGGGTAGAGTAACACGGCACACAAAACAATAGGCTGGTTTCGGTATTGTGAAGTTGGGATTCTATAAACCAAGCTCTTAGGTATCACATTATTGCATTGAATAAACAGTAGTTTGTTTTCTTTGGACAGAATAATTTTTAAATGGCAGTGTTAAACAAAATACGAACGGCACCTACCACTCCCTTCACAGATGAGTTCAAATCGCTTCTCGACCCATGCCGGATAACGTAGTGTCTTCCGCAGAACGAAGAAGTTCCATTTTAAATCGAGTATGGTAGAATGGAGATAAATTTCAGAACACAGTACGTTTATCTCCTAAATGTTTCTAAATGCCAATCAAACAGATAAATAGTTTATGTTGGACGAAGCGCGCCATGTTTGTTTTTCGTACGTGTAACACGTTGGTTTTCTGTGGGCTTGTGTCGAAAATAATGAACCATAACACCTGAAATAAGGACTTGTGAATATTCATAAATGATATATTTTATTCTGCAGTTTTCATTACACGTTGGAATAAACGTAATCCACTTGAATAATTATGTGATGAACGTTTTCGATTATTTTTTTTCAGAAATGTTTTCGCGCTGATGATTGCCGATACAAATATACGAATTTTAAGTCAGATAATTATGAGATATCGGAAATAAGAATATTGAAATCGGTTTGCGCTAATTTAACGATTTATTCAGGTTCCTTATATGAAACGCATTCCACTGTCAATCAAGTAATTCAGGTAAATTCAGGAAAATTTACATTATTTCTATTTGCCTTGTCATAAACCTCTGTATGTTTGAAATTATCAGGATATTTTTGAATAATATGTTCATTTTTCTATTTAGTATTAATGTGCCAAATATTTTTTTAGTTGTCCCTAATTTAATGACACGCCGACTGTTTGAAATCACCCATCTTCTTTACAACGCCTTATGCTGAAATTAATTCAGCAGGCTAAAGGAGCCGCACTCAGCGGTAATCCAGGTAAATGACGGCAGTTGGTAAATAATTGGGTCTGGATCAAACAATCCAGTGATGTCGCATTGTCGCCCTTTTGTGAAACCCAAAATATCTTTCAAAGCACGACAATGCGACAAATGGCCAAAATGTCGCGCCATCGGATCATCGTGCTTTGGCGGATTTTGACACTTTATTCTTGTTTTGTAGTGAGTGAGTGAGTTTAGTTTTACGCCGCACTCAGCAATATTCCAGCCATATGGCGGAGGTCTGTAAATATTCGAGGCTGGACCAGACAATCCAGTGATCAACAGCATGAGCATCGATCTGCGCAATTGGGAACCGATGACATGTGTCAACCAAGTCAGTGAGCCTGACCACCCGATCCCGTTAGTCGCCTCTTACGACAAGCATGGGTTACTGAAGATCAATATTCTAACCCGGACCTTCACGGGTATCCTTGTTTTGTAAAGACGACAATGCCCTTCTACGTTTCCATAGGTTTTGGTGATAGCCGAATGACATACAAAGGCACAGTTTAAATGAGGCCGACCACTTCTTGTTTAATCCCCTAAATGCCCGCTACCAGACAGGGAAAGAACAAGTATCAGCTTTTTAACGCAGATTTGTTTGAAGCCTTCCATGGGATCGAAATCACTGACTTGGCAGACTCCCTGTCCGCTTGACCAGAGAGGCGACCCAGCGTGTAGGTTTTCAACAATTGCACGCTCCCTCCCCCCTTCACTCACTCACTCACAAATAGTTGAATGTACATCTCTCTAAAAAGTTCTTCTGAATACAGTGGTGGACTAGAGATGGGTTGTTGTTTTTTGTATTTTGATACTTTATCAGTATTCATAAAAACTATTACCCACTCACTCACTCATTCACAGACCGCGCATGGACTTGACAATTCTCGAGGATTATACATGTGTGTCCTGTGGACTGACGTCACGACGGGTGACAGGGCTGCTCAAGCGTTTGAAGAAAAATGCAACGTTGAAGAATTCCAGGCAGGTAGTTATATCACTCATGGCCGAATGTATATCGATGTGGCCTTTAAACAATGTCACTATTTTTAAAATGATGGCGGTTCAGAAAGTTAAATAGTGCATTCAATACACGCCGAGAACGCGGTATATCACGGTGGTCTGTCGCTTAAAACGGGGTCCATATGCTTAGAAGGGACTGCTCAATAAGACAATGGGGCATTCCTGTGAACCGTAAACTGTATACCAGAACGATCAGACGACAGCGAGTCAGGTCCAGCTGTCTCGTCCCTGTACCCATGCCACGTTCCTCCGAGCACCTGCCACCGACAGCACGGACTATGCAAACTCCTCAGGTTCAGCTTTGTCTGATTGTGTTTGTTTAGCAGAAGACAGTTACGTAAGAGCTGTCGTCTGGCTGACCATGACCATGGGTCTAGGTTTAAGTGTGGGAATAACGACTGCCTTAGCGCTAAGACCGCTTTGTGGAACCGGATCCCGGGCTACTATTTCTCATTACCGCTACGACTGTCAAACGTCCATCTTTAACATATACTACTCAAAAGCTGCTAAGGATCACCATGTTAAAAAGTGAAAGTGATCACGTGACACGTGTCACGCAATGCCAACAAATAATATTTGACCAACGATCAGTCAGATCACCTGTCAAGAGAAGTGAGTGAGTATGGTTCCACGCCGCTTTTAGCAATATTCCAGCAATAATACGGAGGGGGACACAAGAAATGGGCTTCACATATTGTACCCATGGGGGGTATCGAACCCGGGTCTTTGGCGTGAAAAATGCACAATAGTTCTCAGTGTGAGATCCACGTGATCCGACGACAGCCTGGCTCTTTTATTTCATTCTCCTCATAAATGTCCGAATGGTTGCCAAGGAAGATTGTTATCGTCTTCAGTAATAGCATTCCCGAGTTCCTGAAAGCAGAGACCATATGATAGAGGGACGGCCCTCAAGCCAATGCGCAAAACCATCAGCGCTAAGGCTTGTACTGCGCAGCTTCGGAAGCTTCAGTCATCGATTTCGCAAAGGTAAGATGTAAAAAAATTTCATTTATTCTCATGTATATACTTATTTTTGCAACAGTGCATCTGAGGTTTATTAGGGGTGCTAAAGCATATATTTGTCTTTGTATTTGATAAATACTGTCATGTGTGCTCGTTGTTCTGTGAGAACAATGGCCGAGGTGTAAAATCGGTGAAAGTCCCGATTTTGATTTTCAATAACGGCTACTAATTCTCAATACAAATTGGAAAGTTTTTACTATTATTCAGGATTAAGAATGAATTCAGACAAAACTAAGGCAATATGGCTTGGGTCAATGATTGGAAAGAATATTAAAGTGTGCGAAGATGTTAATCTAGATAGGGTTCATGGTGACTTTGAAGTTCTTGGTATTCAACTAAACGCAAATTTAGAAAAACTATGGGTTATCAACACCAGAAAAAGACTAGAAAACATTAAGAGATTATTAGCAAATTGGCGTAAACGTAAATTGACATTAATTGGAAAAATAACTGTGATAAAAACTTTAGCATTATCTACTCTTGTTCACATATTCTCTGCTTTGCCTCAACCACCCAAAGAATTTGTTGATGAACTAAGTTCAATTTTTATAAAGTTTATTTGGAACTCTAAACCTGATAAAATTAAACGGGCGAATTTGACAAGAAGCTATGAGAATGGTGGATTGGGAATGGTAGATATAAATGTGTTTATGTCATCGCTAAAGCTCAGTATCCTAAAAAAAAGCATGTTTAAGAACCTCTATAATAGCTACTTTCCTTTAAAACTCCTTTTTCAAATGGTTGCCCATGTACCGTCTTACAGACTTTGTAAAATTGATAACCCCTACTGGCAGGATTTGATATATATTTGGAGTAAATACTATAGGTCTCATTTGACAGATGCAAGAGATATTCAGGCTATTCTAGCTGAACCGATATGGTTTAACCACCAGTGTACAGAGGGGCGGTGGGGTAGCGTAGTGGTTAAAGCGTTCGTTCTTCACGCCAAAGACCCGGGTTCGATTCCCCACATGGGTACAATATGTTAAGCCCATTTCTAGTGTCCCCGGCCGTGATATAGCTGGAATATTGCTAAAAGCGGCGTAAAACTAAAGTCACTCACTCACTCACCAGTGTACAGACTCAAATTCTATTATAGAAAACTGGTTCTGTAAAGGAGTGCATTATAAAGAGACCTATGTGACGAGAACGGGCTCTTATCCTTTGTGGGCGGTGGGGTAGCCTAGTGGTTAAAGCGTTGGCTCGTCACGCCGAAGACCCGGGTTCGATTCCCCACATGGGTACAATGTGTGAAGCCCATTTCTGGTGTGCCCCGCCGTGATATTGCTGGAATATTGCTAAAAGCGGCGTAAAACTAAACTCAGTCAGTCAGTCAGTCTTATCCTTTGTAGACTTGAAAAAAATTCAACCTCAAGGGTACTTATTTGGACAATCATCGAGTTGTTAGTAACCTCCCTAAAGAATGGATAAATGTCATAGACAATTCTAAACCTATATTTGTCTACGATCTTAGGATTAATAACTTCTTATGGAATGGACTAAACCATCAAAGGGATCTCGGAAGATATATGATATACTTGTGCAAAATACTTATCTTCCTATTATCTGTAGTAAATGGCAACAAATGTTCTTAACTGACTTAAACTGGAAGGAAATATTTAGCCTTCCTAAACAATGCTGTAGAGATATCAAGCTACAAGATTTCCAATATAGATTTTTGCATCTCATTATATACACCAAAAAGGAATTATTTAAAATGAAGTTGATCGAAATAGTATTTGTCAAAGATGTAACAATGAAAACGAATCGATCGTGCATGTATATTTTGAATGTCCACAGGTTCGTCATTTTGGTACAATCTGGAACAATTTTTGAGACAACATCTGTGTTATGAGATATAGCTTAATCTTAAATCCATCCTCTTTGGTATCCAGGGGACCGCAAACTTCAAACTGGTGAACCAGATTCTTTTGGCCGGAAAAAGATATATATATATAAGTTGTATTAGAAATGAATCTCTATCTTTCAAATCCTTTATTGCTACCTTGAAATATATTTCTCAAGTTGAGAGATATGTTGCTAGAATGAAAAACCAAATAAATGAATGTATGAGCAAATGGCTACCACTACTTACAATATGGACTGATGTGTCATGACTCTTCAACTTGCTTAAAGTAGAATTTTGAGATAGTGAATTACAATATGTGCAGATTCACGGACGGGAAAAGATATACATATTTATATCCATAATCTGTATTAGAAATTTAATTTTGTCCTTAAAATCCTCCATCGCTTTTTTGGAAAAACCAGCCAGACGAATGTGGAGTAAACGGGCACCCATTACACAACATGGTCTGATGTGTTATGGCTCTTCAATGTATACAATCTATAATCTTTGTACAGTAATACTTGAATGTACCTACTCATGTTTGAAGATTGATGTGTTGTGAACTATCAACATGTACAAGCTTGTATTAGGCATGACATCTGTATAATAATGTATGAATGTTTCTACCTATTGGTTACCCAGAATGATATGGTGCTATTATGAAAACAAACCAAATGAACCCAAACAAGTAATATTACCCATAGCACCGACTTACCTAATTGCTCAAGCTTAGACGATCCACAATTATACAAACTTGATTGTATGATTTTTGTATAAAATGATTGTAACTAGAACTGTCACCTGTCACTGTGTACGATTTTTGTATAAAAGGACTGTACCTACTGATGAAACAATTCTCAATACAAATCCTTAGTTACCGGGGTGTAATAAAAGCAGATAAGATAAAGATTGGTATAGTGGCATTTAAGTCTGTGGCGGTCGCGTAATTCCTTATTCCATATTGCGACGAAGTATGATGTTTTCCGAAATATTTACTCCACAACACTTGATTTTCGCACGCTTTCACAAGAATAGTTTACTACTAGCATTTATAAAATAAATATGTCAACATTCACGGCGATTTCCTCTTTTGCTTGGTACCAAATATATATGGCTACGATCAGTATCCTATTTTTTATGATTTTTGACGTAAACCCATATTTGCGCCGTATACTGAACATTTCAATTACCTTGTAGCAGACGACATAATATTCCTTTTGTTTGTTAATATGACCCGAATATATATTTAAATCATTCTACAAAAATCTCATTCACCTAATCGGTTGAAAATAAATGTACTTTTTTCCATTATTGTTCATTGTGAACATATGTTTGTAGAAAAGGTCCTTAGTTTATCATGACTACAATAAATAATATTCTTCCTAATGAAGTTTGATTATGAGTTTACCTGGGCTTAGACAGTACCAACAGCCTGTCTTATGCAACAATAAAAATGAACTCATTATTCAACATTATATTTATATCATAAAATTATCATTTGTTTTGTAGATGCCCAGGAAAAAGAAAGTTTTCATCGGCACTCATCGGAAGGGCTACTCAAAGAGCCTTCTATTAAGTACAATATTCCCATCTTGTGTAAGTAGATAGACCTTGTTTGAAAGAGCATTGGCAACCAACTATTGCATAATTTTAACACGTATTTAGAACACTTCATATTATTTTTTCTTTAATATTAATATTGTGTATCTCCTTTTTTTCAGCTCTAGAGATGAACCCACAGATACCCTATGCCCGGGAGAAGCCACAAATGTCCATCTGGAAAATGTCTGAATGTAGCTTTCTTTGAACTCTGTACTTGTATGGAGGCTATCGATTAGAGCCTAGATGTTTTGGCCACTTCTTGTCTTCTTTTTAGCAGAGCATGGACAATATATTTTGCAATTTGGATCAGATCTTGACCAACTATTGAACCTGACTGAGATGCATCCATCATAGGGTCGCAAATGATCAAATTTAATATGTAATAAATTACATGAGAAGAAGTTATGGAAATTAAAATCCAATGTATAATTCACTTCATGGATATTTTAAATATCAGTTTACGAATGTATTTTAGACTGCGTACAGATTTGTATGATTTTATGTTTTTCATTCACAATCTAAATCCTAAATGGACAACATAACTGTGCAGTTTGTGTTGCACCAAGTTTATAAGTTATCATGTTTTAATATTTTAATGAATTAGTATATTCTTTAGTCTTAAGTCTCAATTTCAAATTCAGTTTAGAGTTTATTTGCAGCAGTTGAAATTCATATTTACTGTGTTTTCAATGAAAGAATATCTAAATGGTTGAATTTAGTAATACATGATTGTCCATATAGATCTATGGTCCTATTCTACAATAAATACATTGTTCATGTAAGAACGTGTGATGTTGTGTTTAATTTAACACGAATATTTCATGGGCTCGGAGGAAAGTGATTTTAGTATTTAGTGGCTTCCCTTTGAAAAAAACAAACAATTGTCTCCGTACGGCCCAAAGCATAATCACTGCTAGCCCCAAACTGGCATTATAAAAACATTAACGCTCTTGGATAATGTGAAATCGTGTTTCGTTGGGCCGGACACTTCTAGGTTGCACCCTACCCGACTGCGTTGCTGATCGCTACGCTACCATCGCATGCAATCGATTAAAACTTAATGTAATGTAATGATGATTGGCCTATCGAACAACACTCATGACACCTACCAATTCTTTATTGTTATTTCTGCAAGCCGATTGAAAACCGATTTGGACTCTCAACTAAACGATCTTGACACAAATGGATGACGATATGTCCGCACACAATAGGGGTGTGGTCGAAGCAAGTCCTCTGATTGGCCAACGCTTGCAAATCTGCACATTCTTTATAAATTCGCGGGAATCTTTACTTTCATCGACTGCTTGGCTTAATGTAAATGTCTCCTTTACAAACATCAACCAACCAGAGGGCTTGCTTCGACCACACACCCGTTTTGTGCCAACGAATACTTGCAAGTAAATCTTGAGATTAGCCATGTGATGATACGCGTAGCGAGCATCGGGGATATTGGCAACTGTAATGTTAAAACTGCCTTTACCTGACTGGGTTAGTTTGATTTTTGTATTTTTGGTTTATATTCTGTGTCCTGTCGTAGTCTGTAAATTCTCAAAGTAAAGTATCGAGGTCCAAGTCGGAGTCATCCCAGTGAATGAATTAAGTCGTCCATGGCCATGCCAAATGTTGAAACAAATATTCCAGGCTTATGACGACACGCATTTCGCGAATGATACATGTTCTGCGATGTTGTCATGTACAAATGAGAGATAAGATAAAAATTATGATTATTGTACTCAGTTTATTGGAGCTGTCCATTTAATGTTTAACTGTCAAACGCAGCCGGTGAAATCCCGCTAAGGGAATTAAATCTCGGCCCGGATATTACGCAATATTGTTTACGTGGACACTCCGGGGCAGTGATGACTTAGCATAACGTCACTGCCACAGGCTAATTTGCATATCACGTGACCGGACTTTTCTCTTGTTTGTAAACAAACGCGCATATTCATAATAAGAAGAGACTGGCCTTACGCAAGCTTTCCGGCGCGCTCTTTATAACGTTTTACATTGTTATATATATATTCTTCCACAACTACGACAGCAATGTTTATGACAGTACATATTGGATATCAAACTGGCTGCATCGTTTGCTCTCCGTCGGCTTCGATGACAGCACGTGGAGCCGTACAACCTATGTAAACAAAGGATCGCTACGCAAATCGAAATAGTGTCACATATATATTTTAGGATATTTTCTCATTGAAACAAAACCATTCTATCAAAGATGTTTAATTAGATGTGTAGACTCGTCAAAAATAAAAGAGTTAAGAAATATGTACATCATATTGAATGGACGGTGCAAGATGTGACGATTCGTCACATCTTTCTGGCCTGTGGCAGAGGTACTATGCTGGCTGGCCGCATGGAACTCCGGGTAGGAGATTGGTTGGCTGCATGGAGCTCTGGGTAGGGGATTGGTTTACGTGGTTACCAGAGTGCTCATTTGCGAATGTCTGCGCATATGTTGTCGATGTGTATCGGCTACATGCCAGGCCGTAGCGCTGATGGTTAGTGATAAACTGTTGGGGAGGGCCGTCCGTCTATTATATGGTCTCTGCTGAAAGTTGGCGGAATGACGTGGCATTGTGACGTGTTCGATAGGGTTGAGGTCTTGAGGCTGGGTACTCTACGCGGAGCAAGTGGGCATCAACGACCCGACGTCCGTGAGGAGGAAGTCCGATCCTATTGTGTACACCTTCTGCAGGCCCGAGTGTGCTCATCAAGGTACTGGGGTCCTTAGGGTCCTTGTTACCCAATCACTTTGAGCTAGAATGTATAAATGTGTATTTCTTAGGCGATATTCCTATATTACCAACAACCTGATCCTCAGCAAATTTTGATATTTTCTGAGACGTGGTGTCGGACGAGGCTGAAAAGTACCCTTGCAATCACAATTCTAGATATGGGACTTGCTTCCAACGGAAAGCACGTGACAGTCACGCATCGTACCTTTGCATGACATCCTTGAGTGATTACTCCTGTTACCTTGTACATTTCATTTTCTCGCTAAAATGTATGTTCAGTATTTTACATGTTGTTAGAATTTGTAAATGATATTTAACATCACAATCAGTAATATGCCTCCTATATTAAACTTGGCGATGAGGTAGCCTCGTGGTTAAAGCGTTCGGTCGTCACGCCGAAGACCCGGGTTCGACTCCCCACATGGGTACAATGTATGAAGATAATATTTGGAGTCCCCGCCGTGATATTGCCGGAATATCGCTAAAAGCGGCGTAGAAACATACTCACTCACTCTAAGACAAACTATCTTCAGTTAAGACGTCTTTCGTTATTATTTGAGAGAGTAGTGAATGATTATTTGAGTGAGTGAGTGAGTATGGGTTTACGCCGCTTTTTGCAATATTCCAACCATACCACGACCTATATCTCTTGTCTATCCGCAACCTCTTAAGTCAGTGGATTGAAACAAAATGATTAAATACGTCTGGATATGCATAATGCATAAGGAGGATGTTCACATTATGTCCGCTCGTCACGCCGAAGACCCGGGTTCGAATCCCCACATAGATACAATGTGTGAAGCCCATTTCTGGTGTCCCCCGCCGTGATGTTGCTGGAATATTGCTAAAAGCGGCGTAAAACCAAACTCAGTCAGTCAGTCAGTCACATTATGTATTGCATGGGCGGTGGGGTAGCCTAATGGTTAAAGCGTCCGCTCGTCACGCTGATGACCCGGGTTCGATTCCCTATTTGGATACAATGTGTGATGCCCATTTCCAGTGTCCCCAGCCGTGATATTGCCGAATATCGCGTAGAACCGTACTAACTCACTCACTCCGAGGCCATTATTGACTGAGTCACAGCCACGCTGCTATGTTTCAGGTTGATGGTGTACCACTCCCCCACTGTACAACATGACAATGAAATGGATGCAAGGGGTGGTGATCTGCCTGGTGGTGATTGTGACGTCACTGGCTGTGTTACTGTCCAGCCCCCTCCGAAAAAACATGACGCTACTAACAAGCTTTGATCGGAGTGGCTTTCAGGCGTGTCAGCGAGGTAAATGTGGGAGAGAGGGGTGCATGTCAAGATAAAATTGGGGCGGGGGGTATTTAGGGGAGTTTGTTGATCACGACCGAGTGATCAACGGCATGAGCATCAATCTACGTAGTTTGGTTACGATGACATGTGTCAAACATACACCCATCTGACCACCCAATCCCGTTGTTCGCCTCTTACGACATGCAAGGGTTACTGAAGACCAATTCTCACCCGGATCTTCTCTGGTCTATTTAGAGAGGAGGGGTGGGACATGTGCAATTACACTTGTTTTGGAATACTGCCAGCTGGAGACCTCCTTGGTCGCAAGTCAGTGTGTTTGAATCCCGTCAAACTATTGGGCTCAACGTTTGTTGACCCTCTTTTTCTGTTTTACTTGGGCTCATTTTCCAAAATATACAAAAGAATAGGAATGAGGGAAATTTTGGGGTAAGCAATTGATATAACACCCGCCACTGAAATCGTTGTTTACCACGTCGTTCAGTAGCATTCATTCGCTTAAATTCCCAAGAGGTCGACATTATCGTGACACTGTTGTTTCCTATATGAAAAGTAGAGAACTGCATAAGATCCGGATTAGAATGAGCCTTCAGCAACCTGCTTGTCCTAAGAGGCCACTAATGGGATCGGGCTACCAAGGCTCGCTGACTTGATCGATGCATGTCATTATATCCCAAATGCGTAGATCGATGCTCATGATGTCAGTCCCTGGATTTCTCGTCCAGACTCCATTTTGTACAGGCCGGCGTGGTATGGCTGAAATAGGCCTGCAAGTCTCGCGAGGAGCTACTTCCGGTACTAAGCTTGTTCCCGACTCATTTTGCGCGCGCCAGCTCTCGAGACGGGGCCCAGCTTACTTCGGGTACCAGAATTCCGGTGATAAACGTGTATTCAAGAACCAGTTCTGGAACTAAATTGCGCGACCGCCAGATATGACTTTAATAGACCGGACCAAGTGTACAACCATGCTTGGCCGTCACAGCTGTTGACAGTCGTAATATTTGGCTAATTAAGGGATGGTTAAATCGGAAATTTAGTATTCATGGAAGGATCTGACAACCATGAGACCATTCGGAAAGGTATTAAAAACATTGTTTGTCACCGGAAGTACTAAGGTCTCGGGAAGTGCCGTGATCTACTTACGAGCCCTAGATTGGCAGGCGAGGCGTTGAACAACAAACGTCCTTGACGTTACCATGACCTTCATGTTTCAGGTAGGTCGGTGGCGGAACGTCTGAGCAGCGTCCGTCTTCTATGCTGGGTGATGACGATGCCCAGCAATTTGCAGAAGAAGGCTAGGTACGTCAGAGAGACGTGGGGAAAGAGATGTGACGTACTCCTGTTCTTCAGCTCGGTAGAAAATAAAGCCTTGTCCGTCATCGGCCTCAACGTTTCAGAAGGACGGCGCCATCTTAGTGACAAAACCTTCAGTGCTTTCCGCTACGTCTATAAACATTATTTCAACCAGGCCGATTGGTTTCTAAAGGCGGACGATGACACATATGTCATCGTTGACAATCTCAAGTATTACCTGTCCAAGTTTGATAAGAATCGGGGACTATATTTCGGAGCTACTTTTTCGAGAATCACACCCCAAGGATACAACAGCGGAGGTGCCGGTTATGTGTTGAGTAAAGAGGCTTTGAAAAGATTTGGTGAGCGTGGAAGGAATCAGACGGCGTGTCCATATCACAGGGGCATCGAGGACGTGGCTATGGGGCACTGCATGTACAACTTGGGGGTCAAGCTGGTCAACACGCTGGATGAGAAGAATAGGACCCGGTTCCACGCCTACCACCCCCTCACCCACATGGAAGCTGGGGACAAATACCTCAACTCCGTGTCTGCCTATGGCTACAGAACTGTAAGTATAGAGCAAGTGAAGCAATATGTTTGTTTGTTGTTTGCCGTTAGCACTATGTATTGCTAATACATAAACACGTTTGGTTAGTTTGTTGTTTAACGCCACACTCAGCAATTTTCCAGCTATATGGCGACGGTCTGTGAATAGTCGTGTTTGGACCAGACAATCCAGTTATCAAGAGCATCGATCTGTGATACGATGATATGTGTCAACCATGTCAACCATGTCAGACAGCCTGATCAGCAGATCACGTTAGCCGCCTCTTTCGACAAGCATGGGTTGCTGAAGATCACCGGAGAGCAGAAGGTCGCGGGTTCGGTCCCCGACCGCGTCATACCAAAAGACGTTAAAATATGGTACTTGTTGGTCCCTGCCTGGCGCTTGGCATTAATGGGTACAACAAGGACTGGTCAGCTCGGAGTCAGTATAATGTGTCTGAGTGGGGTATTCATGCTTCACTGCGGCATAGTATCTCAGTGGGCTAGCACTATAAAACCAGCTTCAGTCTGGGCTAGTACAAGCAGCCGCACATACACATACACATACACACGCATGCACGACGTCATATGAGCGAAATATTCTCAAGTACGAAGTTAAACCCAATTTCACCTCACCTGCTGAAGATCAAGATCCTAACCAAATCTTCACGGGTCTTAGTGAGACAGTAAGGGTTGAAGTTGAAGGCGGCCCCAGCAATATCCCTAATAAGGGGATACGGTTGATTGAGCAGAACCAAGATGCATTAGGAATACCATTGGTACAATAAAAGATTTCGAAATTTGGCATGTGGTATCACTGATACAGGATCTAAGAGAAACACGTATGTATTAATTCTTTTACACCGGGGAACATATTGGCTTAGAAGCTCGATCGGTCTGTACTGGGTCGAAAAGGAACATTTCTTTATTTGGTTAGTTGTTTTAGGGGAAAAGATTATTTTCATCACGAATCGTGTATGGTTGTGAGTGGGTGAGTTTAATTTTACGCCGCACTCAACAATAGTCCAGCTATATGACGGCTGTCTGTAAATAATCCAGTCTGGACCAGACAATCCAGTGATCAAACATCGATCTACGCAATTGGGATACGATGGCATGTGTCAACCACGTCAGAGAGCCTGACCACCCGATCCCGTTAGTCGCCTCTTACGACAAGCTGAAGATCAATTCTAATCCGGATCCCATGCCGTCAGTAACTGCTTCAAAATGCGATTACTTAGCGATTGCCGTGATATTGAGGGAATGTTGCCGACTGTGGCTTTAAACAAATTTCACTTACTCATACGTTGTCTGTTACAGGGAGCGATGAACATCAGTGATCTTCCCCTGACGTTTCACTACATTCAAGGCCGTAACATGAAGGCGGTTGAGTTCTACTTATACCATGTTCACCATGTTGGCGATGGTGGGACAGTCTTAACTTAGAGCAGCGATCTCTCGGTTTCCATCCTCGCGTGTCCAGGGAATTATATATATTATATATTTATGTGTGGAGTCTACATTGCCACAGTTTCTTCTGAAAATGAAGAAAGTCTCTGGGCTTCCTTTTATTGTATTTAATTTTCATTTAAAAAGATGTTTTTATTTTTATTTTTCTTCTGTAAAATATGTACATGTCAGTGACTAGATGTGTGTCTAAAATACAACCTGAGACTGTATATGGAAATGGATATGCATTTCACGTAAACAAACAACAAAGGAAATGTAGATCCGATGCTAAGCTTTGCTTGACCTGCGCTAGGAAGAGAGGGCGGTGGGGTAGCCTTGCGGTTAAAACGTCCGCTCGTCAGTCAGAAGAAACCGGTCGAAGAATTAAAACGATGTTCAAATCATTTGTTCCCATTTGGCATTTTATCGTTTTTGCTTCGGTCATTAAAACAATGCTGAAATAATATGCCAGCAGTCTGTCATACAGACACTGAATGGAAAATGCACCAAATACAGCCTATGCAAGTCTAGAATGTGTGCAGTCTACATTGCCACAGTTTCTTCTGAAAATGAAGAAAGTCTCTGGGCTTCCTTTTATTGTATTTAATTTTCATTTAAAAAGTTGTTTCTTCTGTAAAATATGTTCATGTCAGTGACTAGGTGTTGGTCTAAACTACCAGCTGAGACTGTATATGGATATGCATTTAACGTAAAGAACCATCTCGGAAATGTAGGTCCGATGCTAAGCTTTGCTTGACCTGCGCTAGGAAGAGAGGGGGTGGGGTAGCCTTGCGGTTAAAGCGTTCGCTCGTCACGCCGAAGACCCGGGTTCGATTCTCCACATGGGTACAATGTGTGGAGCCCATTTCTGGTGTCCCCCGCCGTGATATTGGTGGAATATTGCTATAAGCGGCATAAAACTGAAACTCATTCACTGATCATTATATACTGCCCGTAACTCCACGTACAAGCATTCGATCTACACGTATTGATTAAGTTAAGTTAGCATACCTTTTTTTCTTATTCTTTTTTTTTTGTTGCATCTTACGTATTTCAAATCAATCACAAAAGACAGTGACACGACGTTAAATGTACCTACTCGAGATGGACATGGTGAACGAAAGAAATTCTGTGAAGGCGGCGACGAAATGATGGTAATGGGGTTCAGGGTATTTATCGTTTAAGGTGAGCTACATCACCCTGGGTTATAGAGGATGTTTGGTCCATGCAGACAGCCCTGGAACCAGTCCGTCTTTGATGCAAGGGATAACATGGAACTCATCAAATCCATCAAGTGCTACAAAGAAAAGGCCACCTTGTTGGACCCGTGCTACATTTAAAGAGACATCGTAGTGCCACATATTGGATGAGAGTGATGTCTGTGAACGGTGGAGCAATATATATGGTAAATAATTGTTGATTAATGTCTGGACCTTAATATGTATATTAGAGAACGCACGTCACCGGATGTGACTTTAAATTAAACTGCTTTTTCTGAGTTGACTGTTGTTCCTGGATAATATATAGTGCATGGTACTGATTAATTTATTGAATTTATTGATTGATTTTGATTGATTAATTGACGTCAGACTCAGCAATACTCCAGCTATGTGGCGGCGGTCTGTAAGTAATCGAGCCTGGACCAGACAATCCAGTGATCAACAGCATGACCATCAATCTACTCAATTGGGATACGATGACGTGTAAACCAAGTCAGCGGGCCTGACCACGTGCACCTGATCCCTTTAGTCGCCTTTTACGACAAGAATGGTTACTGAAGATCAGTTCTAACCCGCATCTTCACATTATTATCTTAGAATTATTTTTAGTAATAGTTTTAGTAATAAAAAAATATAGATAGGATGAGAAGGATATAGTTGAACTACAGGAGAGTGGAATTTGTCATTCCTCCGATTTTTGTGTTTGGATTGCTGGCCCCAAATGTGGAATATTTAGCTAAACAATTAATTTTCTATTCCATTTTAAAAGTGAATCTGTAATGGTATATTAACCATCAGAAAACAAATGTGGATTAATGATGGCACTTTTACAGTGTGAAATTTGAACGTTGTGAGTGACGTTGTTGCTTTTTAACGTTTTTAGTGAGTGAGTGCGTGAGTGAATATGGTTTTACGCCGTCTTTATCTATAGTTCACCAATGTCATGGGGTGGGGTGGGGGCAGAAATGCACTAACGTTTTTTAGACGAAGCTATGCATGGTTCACATCGTCATAGCATCTAGGCTGTTATTGTGTACTAGTAATTACAGAAGCGAGTGGCCTTGAGTGAACGAAATCACGTCAGCTGTTTATATTTCCCAATGACTACATGTCGCGTGATTCATTACATTGTTAAGTGTTACAGTGTGTTACAGACATATAAATATTTTGCGTATTAGCAGTGCAAGGGTCGAAGCCAACGCTGGACTTTGTTTAAGTGTACAAAGAGCGAACGCTACGCTTTTTTGAACAAGTCAAAACATTGATTACACAACAGTCTCGTTTCCTGTTGATTGGGTTCCGTCCTATTGCGCAACTTCAGTACAATAACCACTCCAGAATTTGAGACCATTCATTCAGCTGGATTCATAGATATTAATCAGTATTATTGGATACATCTAAGCACTTGTATATTGCGACGCTATGCTCCTTATGATCCTTGCAAACATGTCGTGCAGCGAGCACTGACAAACAGAAACCTGGAAATCGTGAAAATCTCAAAACGAGGCTCTGCCGCTAGAAACGTTTGGCGGTCTGGTACGGACTTGATATTATATCAATCACATTGTGCCTAACAGAACTATACTGAATAAGCGCAAAACACATAACAGGTGTAACCAGAGAGCCAGATGCATTGTGAATCAGTTTACGACCTCATCAAACTGGAGCCGCCTGTGACGTCTTAGTTAAGGTCATGTTGCTACAGCTCGCCATAAAATATAGAAATACAATGTTATTAAAGTTTAAAATTAAAATTCATTGGTAAATGCCATTATTTCATGAAACAAGGAATTGGAATTCAGTGTAACCATAGTTGTTTGTGATGTCTATTTTCACTTTCACACAGGAAAATTCGGATCGGTTGAAAAGTAGGTCATTTTCTCAATAGGGTAATGAGACTCGTGTTTCGGTTTGATGTGTACAGAGCGAAATCTGTCCTTGTTGGAAATGTGTACAGAGCGAACGCTGTCCTTGTTTGAAATGTGTACAAAGCGAACACTGTCCTTGTTTGAAATGTGTACAGAGCGAACGCTGTCCTCGTTTGAAATGTGTACAGAGCGAACGCTGTCCTTGTTTGAAATGTGTACAGAGCGAACGCAGTCCTTGTTTGAAATGTGTACAAAGGGAACACTGTCCTTGTTTGACATGTGTACAAAGCGAACACTGTCCTTGTTTGAAATGTGTACAGAGTGAACGCTGTCATTGTTTGAAATGTGTACAGAGCAAACACTGTCCTTGTTTGAAATGTGTACAGAGCGAACGCTGTCCTTGTTTGAAATGTGTACAAATCGAACACTGTCCTTGTTTGACATGTGTACAAAGCGAATAGTGTCCTTGTTTGACGTGTACAAAGCGAACACTGTCCTTGTTTGAAATGTGTACAAAGCGAACACTGTCCTTGTTTGACATATGTACAAAGCGAACACTGTCCTTGTTTGAAATGTGTACAGCGCGAACGCTGTCCTCGTTTGAAATGTGTACAGAGCGAACGCTGTCCTTGTTTGAAATGTGTACAGATCGAACGCAGTCCTTGTTTGAAATGTGTACAAAGGGAACACTGTCCTTGTTTGACATGTGTACAAAGCGAACACTGTCCTTGTTTTTGAAATGTGTACAGAGTGAACGCTGTCATTGTTTGAAATGTGTACAGAGCAAACACTGTCCTTGTTTGAAATGTGTACAGAGCGAACGCTGTCCTTGTTTGAAATGTGTACAAATCGAACACTGTCCTTGTTTGACATGTGTACAAAGCGAATAGTGTCCTTGTTTGACGTGTACAAAGCGAACACTGTCCTTGTTTGAAATGTGTACAAAGCGAACACTGTCCTTGTTTGACATATGTACAAAGCGAACACTGTCTTTGTTTGACATGTGAACAAAGCGAACACTGTCCTTGTTTGACGTGTACAAAGCGAACACTGTCCTTGTTTGAAATGTGTACAGAGAGAACGCTGTCCTTGTGTGAAATGTGTACAAAGCGAACACTGTCCTTGTTTGACGTGTACAAAGCGAACACTGTCCTTCTTTGAAATGTGTACAAAGCGAACACTGTCCTTGTTTGACGTGTACAAAGCGAACACTTCCTTGTTTGACATGTACAAAGCGAACACTGTCCTTGTTTGACATGTGTACAAAGCGAACACTGTCCTTGTTTGAAATGTGTACAGAGCGAACGCTGTCCTTGATTGAAATGTTCAAAGCGAACACTGTCCTTGTTTGACATGTGTACAAAGCGAACACTGTCCTTGTTTGACATGTGTACAAAGCGAACACTGTCCTTGTTTGACGTGTACAAAGCGAACACTGTCCTTGTTTGAAATGTGTACAGAGAGAACGCTGTGTCTTTGTTTGAAATGTGTACAAAGCGAACACAGTCCTTGTTTGAAATGTATACAGAGAGAACGCTGTCCTTGTTTGAAATGTGTACAATGAATAATTTTTACATTGTGATTTTACATTGTGAAGCATTTATTTCTGTTGTGGGCTGTGTCTATTCGTTGCATACATTGGCTCAATGTTTTACAATATACATGGAGCGAGTTCTGCAGCATGACTTGATTGATTGTTGTTTTACGGCACGCCCAGCAATATTCCAGCTATATGGCGGCTGTCTGTAAATAATCGAATTTGGACCAGACAATCCAGCGATCAACATCATGAGCATCGATCTACGATGACATGTGTCAAACAAGTCAGAGCAAAGTCGGAATGACGTCACAAATGAGCAGTTCCAGATGATACCATGGGAACCAGCTGAAACGGCCAGCTGATGACACTTCACTGCTGTACCCGTACTCGATGTCAATGAGCGCGGACAGTTAAACCCGTGTGGGCCTTTTGGTTTACTCTAGTGTTTACAATGTCGGTAAACATCATGTGTTGGCCAAATTTTGGGTGTTATTGAGTATTTTGAAGCACGGGGACTCATTCCCGTAAAACACACGGAAATTGGCCAACACATGAAGTTTATCTTGTAAGTGGGAAATGCTCCTCGGGAAAAATTCGGGGGGAGGGAGGAGCGCGCGCACCCACCCCGCCCCCGCAAACCCCATTTAATTTTCATTTAAAAAGTTGTTTTCTGTAAAATATGTACATGTCAGTGACTAGATGCTGGTCTAAAATACCACCTGAGACTGGATATGGAAATGGATATGAATTTAACGTAATGAACCCTTCTCGGAAATGTAGATACGG